GGAGAGAGAGAGAGGGAGAGATGGCTTCCTCATTTTTTCCTAATCATTCATTGACTTGTTTGTCTCACTTTTCCAGGATCAAGCTCCCATCAGGTGCAAAGAAAGTAGTACCAAGCGGGTGCCGTGCCATGATTGGTCAAGTAGCAGGCGGTGGAAGGACAGAGAAGCCTCTCCTCAAGGCTGGGAACGCATACCACAAGTTCAGAGTGAAGCGCAACTGCTGGCCTAAGGTGCGTGGTGTGGCCATGAACCCAGTCGAGCATCCCCATGGTGGTGGTAACCATCAACACATTGGTCATGCCAGTACTGTTAGGAGGGATGCTCCCCCTGGTCAAAAGGTTGGTCTTATTGCTGCTAGAAGAACTGGGCGTCTTCGTGGACAGGCTGCTGCCACTGCTTCCAAGGCCGACAAAGGAGCATAATGCATTTCTTTCTCTTGCTGTTTCTCATTTAGTGTTCTTTGTTGCCCCCTGTTTCTCTTTTGACATTTTGTCTCGAATTTTGTTGTTTTTGGGAGGGCGAGACTAAGAGGATTCTTAGTTTAGTGGACATTTATCAGATTTTGGTTCATTTGAATGCATGTTTTGGTTGAAGATGTTGAGACTTTTCATCTCTTTTGATAGCTCAAGTTGTTATGACTTTATATCCCTCTTGGAGGTTGCATTTATAAGTAATTTAGTTAAAAGTTTCCTCTTTTGTGAGGCACTTGTGATCTCTCTCTCTCTCTCTCTCTCTGATTGATGGCTTGTGATGTGTAATTGTCTATCACTTGTGGATTGTGGATTCTTTCTCTATGGGTTGTGATTGATGTCCGTCTTCTATTTAAAGTGGGTGGATTCTGACAAGATATTCCTCGGAGATGTTATTCTCCATCTTAAATTTGTTGTATTGGTTGAGTTTTTTTATCCCTTTCTGCCATTTTTTTTTATCATAGTTCACCTTATTTCAACTTTGAAATGCTTATTTTTGCAAGTCACATGAATTTATGTTTTTGGGTTATAAGTGAGAAAGGTAACATGTTAAGAGGAAAAAGCTTCTGTAAGATACCATAAAATGTAGAACTAGGATGCACCTTTAAAATCCTTTTTGAGTAAGGATATATTGATATTAGAAAAATATTCCTTTGACCATCTCGACATTGGGATGCATTGATATGGAGAAAAAAAAAGATTTTCAAGTCTTAAAAATAGTATCATGGCAACGCATTATCATTTTCAAGATTTTCAAATGTTTAAAAAAATTGGTTTGGTCTTAGGTAATTCCCATCTAGTTTGGCAATCTGGATTAACGATCGTTAAAGAGTTTTAATGGTGTTGTACTGATCCTCTCTCCATTGTCTACTCCATTCCTATTCGTGTAGATCTTTTAGGGCCTGTTTTGCTTGCCTATACACCACCGTTAATGCAGCTCTAATTTGCAATGTTATTAAATTAGCTCCTCTTCGGCCGAAGAGGCTCAAGACTTAAGATTTTAAGCATAAACCAAAGCGAAGAGAAGTGTGGTGTTGTTGTTTCAGTCTGTTTCGGCCGAAGTTTCAGGCTGTTTCGATCAGAAAAGAATATCTATATAAAAAATATATATATATATATATATATATATATATATATTAATTTTAATGTACATCATTATTTATAGAACAATGATCTAATG